GGAACTTTTTGCTTGTAGTTGTAAGACGTGGGCACCATCAGGGCGCTGTCTGTCTTCTCTTTAGCATTACTGCTGGAGGTGTAATGGATGTTAACACCGCCCTGCAAGAAGTGCTGAAGACCGCACTGATCCATGATGGCCTAGCCCGTGGTATCCGGGAAGCAGCCAAAGCCTTGGACAAGTAAGTGTTATTTTTCTGTTTTATCTATGGTAAATAGCAAAACATATGTTAAACACGTGGAGCAGTTACTTTGTTCAGATATTTAGGTGGAGCTTTTGCAATACCATGTTTTTCTCCTAGTGAGTTTTCTCTTTTGTTTTCTCTGTTTTGAGGTCTTTAACTGGGATCTTGATATACAGATGCTAAACATCGTGATTCAAGAATAATAGCATCTAGTTTTCATGTGGATTGATTTTGTGAAGAAAATCGAGTTGTACTTGAAGTATGTAGCTCTGGAAATCTAGGGCTTAAGAATCTTTTGTTTTCAGTAGTGAAACTCTTCTCAAAGCTTCCTAGGATTTTAATTGGAAGTGTTAGTAGTCTGTCAGACTGAGCCCGGAAGAGTTGATTTAGTTTTTTTGAAGAATATTTGAAATTTGTAGCTTGTCTTTACCTTTTTTTGCTAGCTTCAACTTTCTGTGTGTTGCAGCTGTAAATAATTGCCTTGGTAGAGTATCAGTACAAAAGTAAACTTGTCATATATGTGCCATCTGTGGTAATTGGTTATGATTTCTTGGTAGGGTGAGGTACTGTACATATGTACATATACACACCTCTCTGTGTGTCTGTATGTAGGCACGTTCTTGGAAGAATAGACAGTTTTCAAGTGTAATGCTACAGTGTTTGGGTGATGACTTACCAGTTTGTCGGATACCCCTTCACTCCTCATGAGTGAGAACAGCAGTCTGACAAACCTGTATGCAAAAAGCTATTTTGACATGATACTAACTAGTGGAAGAGAGATACAGGTTAGGTAGACTGACAGCTAGTTTGTAAGAGTTGTTTTGAGTTCAGCTACAACTTATATATGCTGTGTGTTAAGAGGATAATGTAAGTACAAGGCTTATATATTTGTGTGTGACAGTTCTTGCTTGGAAATGTGTTTTTCTGAACTTTGGTAAACTGATGATGAAGGCCGAGAAAACTGACTTACTTGCAGTGGTCGCATTACATTAGGTTAAGCATAGAAGACCTACACAGCTCTCTCTGTTATCAGGTATCCCTGTGGTATTCTTAACATTGTACCACTGTATACAAAGATCCTAATTAGAATTGAGGCCCTGTCATAACAGCTTCTTTGAACGTAAGTAGAAAAGATTGTTCTGAAGAGCTTTTAACAACTTCACATAGAAATTCAAGCTTTTAATAATTACACTTTTGATGTTAAATTACTGCAATCTATGGTAAATAAGAAAAAGTAACTTGTAACTTGGTTGCTTTTTAATAGTGACACCAGTTCTCTGTGGGACCTGGTGTTTATCTGGTAATTACCCCTTTTCCTAACAGCTGAGAATTCATTTAGTGGGATTTTTAAAAGCTTCCAAAAGTGGGGACAGAATCTAGTAATAAAGCTACCAGCGTATGAGTAGTTTGTTATGTATATGAAAACATAAATATTAGTTCATATCAAAAGTATATTTAGTATTTCAAAAGCATGTGGTGTCTCAAAACAAAAAAAAATAAACTTGGGAAGTGATTGTCTAGAAATGCATGTACTGAATTTTGTTCTTCGCTGTTTCAATAAAAAAAAAAAAATTAAACAGTGTCTGAAGTTATATTTGCCAATTTTCATTCCTTTTAGACGCCAAGCCCATCTTTGCGTTCTGGCTTCAAATTGTGATGAACCCACATATGTAAAATTAGTTGAAGCGCTTTGTGCAGAACATCAGATCAACTTAATAAAGGTGAGTGCCAGAACTTCAGATGTATGTGTGGAACAGTTGCCTTGCTTGGAGAATAAGCTGCTTGTTTCAGCATGTAGAGAGCTGAACCTTTGAAATGCTACGCTGTAATTCTGCATATGGCTTACTTAAGCAGAATTTCTCGTATCAGCAGATACTTAGTTCTGTATGACTGTCATAGAAGCAGTACCAAAACTGTCTAAATGGCAAAGGATGTGTATCGGGTATTTTAGAAAGTTAAAACGAATGTTTTGTGTTCTGTATAATAAGAATAGGATTAATGCTGCAAGTAGTGGAGTGTGGGAGGAGTCTCAGCATGACTTTTTCTTGGCGTTAAAACACGAGCTGTACGATGATGATACTTGGCTCCCTCTACTGATAGTTGTGAGGAAAGCAGCCATCCGTTACCCAATACTTCTGAGAGTACAGCAGCTTTTTTGCTGAACACAATTGTGTTAGAAATGACGAGTTCTAATGTGATACATTATTTTACACAGGTTGATGACAACAAGAAACTGGGTGAATGGGTAGGTCTCTGCAAGATCGACAGAGAAGGAAAACCTCGCAAAGTGGTGGGCTGCAGTTGTGTGGTTGTCAAAGTAAGATGATGCTAATTACAGCTCATTTCTTAACTTGTGAAAATAAGATAAGGTTCCTTTAGATAAAGGAGTGTTAAATAGAGCTCTTGGGTTATTTCTTCTTAAACAGTTGCTCTCCATTGTCGACAATTAAAACAGACTGCTTCCCTGTTATATAATCCCTTTTATGCTTATTTAAAATACTTTTATTGATTTTGTGAGGTAATGGTTATACTTACTGTAGCTGTACTCACTTGCCAGTAAGCATTAAAGGAAAGACATTTTAACTAGGAGAGATGAAGTTCTGCTTCAGGAAAAATGCCAGTTCAATGTGTCTGCTCAACTTTAAAATGTTTTGCAGATAATATTTTAAAGTGACACTGGTAAAGTAAAGCCACAGTACGAGCCTTGAAGACTTTGTTGTCTTTGAGGTCCCAGGAGTTGGCTACATCTTCACAAAAAAGGACTAATGCTTTCTGCATGCGTCTTCATGCTTTTGCTGCTGTTTGGCTTGCTTCAAGCAGAAATAAATCTGTCTGGATCCATGTCAATGGGTATTACACTAGAATGAAACAGAATTAGTCCTTTAATAATGTAGTCCCTTAGAGAATGAAGGGAGCGCAGCTGGTGGATTCCTTCAGGTTTCTTATGTGCAATTTTTGGGAATGTCTTGAGAACAAATGTCAATCTCAGTTGTCCTTTTAAAAATAGGTTGTAAAATTTAGAATTGTCTGTATGTTATTAATGGGTTATCTTCTGTTGCAGGACTATGGCAAAGAATCTCAGGCCAAAGATGTCATCGAAGAGTACTTCAAGTGCAAGAAATGAATGGAAAATAAATTTCAAACTTGAGTTGTGTGTGTGATTAATGTGTGGGAATCTGTGGAATAATAGTTCAAGTTGCAAAGGGTAATATTGGAAGATGAAAGGAATTTGCAGGTCATGGTGTACATTTTTAATAATGTTAACCATCTGCTTGACTAAAAAGATAATGGGATTCCTTGTGAGAGGCTGCTTCTGTTTCCTCTGCAGAGGTTGCCAACTTGGGAAACTTTACACAGTGGCCCAGTTCCAGAAAATGCTGACAGTTGACTGCTACCTTTGCTTGGCAGTGCTGAGGCCTGTACTTCTGCAGGGATTCCAAGTAACTTGTTAGGGAACTCTGAAGTACTGCTGCATCTGTGATGAAAATTTGGCTCCCTCTTCTGAAACAAATGACGAGAACAGCCATAACCGTTACCCAAATCTTCTGAGATGTCGCAGGAATTTTTGAAAGGCAATTATAATTTATTCAGGGAACTTGGCACAAGAAAGCTTTTGTTTCTTTCCCTCTCTTCCCTGCCCCTCTGCATTCTGAAACAAATTGTGACTGGAATTAGCTTCTTAAAAGTGTCATCTTGTACTTCTAGATCTGATTCTGTAGGAGTTCTTGGTAATTAAAGCAGCTAGGTGGTCAAGATCTTGAACAACTCTGGTTTTCATGCTGTCACGGCTTTCTGGTAGCCAGATGTGGGTGGCTTAGATTTTTGAGAGGTT